ATAGACAAACAAGAGGCTGAAAGAAAATGTTTGCAATAAATAAAGGATAATTTATTCAAATCACTATCACAAATCAGTAATAGTAACACCTACAACTCAGTAGAAAAATGGACGGAGCTAACAGCCAGTTCAAAGATGAAATAAAACAGCTAATGAAAACTACTCAATATCACTAGTAGTAGGAAAATGCAAAATAAAGTGATGACATATCTACTTTTTTCCAGAAGATTAATTTTAAATCACAGAAGAATGATAATACCTAGGATTGGTGAATGTGAAAAGACAATTCCATTGTCAGTTATATAATTTGCTGTATGTATATACTGTTTGAATCAATATTCCTCAGAAACCAAAGTGTACAAAGGTTGGTAAATATATAATGACCAAAATAATTTTTAAGTGGTAAATTTAGGGTAATGGGTAAATGGATAAGTTAATTATTGTGTGTTCATTCAATAGAATTATGCAGTTGGTAAAAAAAAAAAAATAGAGATAAATTGTATATAGGCACAGAAAGATAACTGCTATACTAAAGGAAAAAATTTTTCAGGTCTGTATTCTAGTATAAACTCATAATTGTGATATCAAAAATAAATCGAAATTATATAGTTTTCTGTTTTTCTCTGCTTGGTTTTTGTTGCCTCTTTTTGACTACACCATTTCTTCTTTTTCTTTGAGTAACTGGCCACCCCTGCCATATGATTCTGATGGACCTAGCAAATCAAATTCTCTGGAGTCTGACATGCAGCTGAATCTGTGTCCTCCAGTGGCAACACCCTAAAGGGGTGATTGATGCTGGTGATCTTTGGAGCCACCCTAAATTTTGTGCTTTCTAAGACTGCAATCCCACAAACTACCCATTACCCTTGCAATACTTCATTTCTGGTTTATATTGCTCATTTTTCACCAAGTAAACAAACTTAGCCAATTAAAGAATTTGGTATGAATACTGGGTAATAGGATCTTCGGGAAATTTGAAGTGTTAAGAATTGGTTTAAGGGTGAAATGGGGCAAGTGAGCCTCCTGTTTCTTTTCTAGCCTAGGACCCTCAACCTAGGATGGGGTCTGGAAGAAAGTGGGTGTGGCTATGAAAGGGCTTCCTGGTGGAGATGGAACTGTTTTGTATCTTGACAGTGTCATCATCAACATCCTGTTAGTGATATTGCAAGGTGTCATGTTGGGGAGTAGATAAATGCCATGGAGGATCTCTCTCTATGGTTTCTGTATTATTTGTTACAACTGCCACGTGAATCTACATTTATCTCAAAATAAAAGATTTAATTAAAGAAATCATGCATGACCACCAACCTCAGGCAGCTACTGTTTGCATTTTTGTGGTCACTCAGACATTCAACAAATGCTTTTGTACTTGGCTTTGTGGTTTGTGTAAGAGGGCTCCAGCCTGGAGGCTTCGTTCCCATCCCAGATCCCCTACTTTCCCCTCGTGTGACCTCTCTCGTCTATGTCACTGCCCTCATCGGGAACGCAGTGGTTGCTAGGACTGAATCAGTTGTAAACATGCCAAGAACAGGAATTGGCACATAAGAAACTCCTAACACATAAGGGTTGATATTCTCATTATTATGATCCTTCGCTTCCTTGCATTTCTGTACGCTTTACAAATTTCCTACACATATCGGGCTCCAGACAGTCACCCAGCATCCCTGGTGGGGCTGCAGACGGTCTGATGAGGGGCCATAGCTTTGTCTTCCCGTCTCCACCCACGACCCTTCCTTTTCTGGTATTTTTCTCCTCTCCAGCTCCCTCTCCACCTCCACGTGCCGCCTCCCACTCCTCCCCTTCCCACCCTTTTCCTGTTCCTTACAGTTTTTCCGTCCTCGTCCCTCTGCTTCTTCAAGGCCCATTTCTCCTCTCAGCCCTCCTCCCCTCTCCGCCCTCTCCCCGCCCTCCTCCTCTCTCCTCCTCCCCATCTCCCCTCCCCTCCTCTCTCAGCCCTTCCCTCCACCCCTTTCCCTCTCCTCCCCACCCCGCTCCCGCCGGGATCCTCGATCTCTCGGGTCTCTCCCTCCTTACCCACCTGCGCGCTCTCCTCCGAAATCCCCCCGAACCCCGCCCCCTTGACGGCGGTGCCGCGGGTGCCTCTGGGAGGGGGAGCGCCGCGGCCGCTCCTCGGGTTCGGGTCGGTTTGGCTGCGCTCCGCAGGGAGGCCCGGGCGCAGGCGCAGGCGGAGGCGGAGGCGCGCGCGCTTCTGGGAATTGTAGTCGGCCCGTCCGCGCAAGCGCAGTGGGGCCGGGCGGGCCTAGTGGGCGCGGGTCATTGTCCTGACAGCCGCGCGGTGAGTCGTGTTGCGGGCGGGGCGGGGGTGGGAGGAGGGTGGCGGAGGCGGGCTGAGGGGAGGGTGTGCGGGGCGGGGAGGGGTTGTGTCGACCCAGGTGAGGGGTGTGCGGGTGAGGAGCGGGTGTGCGGACCCGGGTAAGGGGCGTGCGGGCCCGGGGGAGAGGAGTGCGGGCTGGGAAAGATGGTGTGTGGTTCCCCCGCCGGGGCGGCCTCTCAGACTTAGGGGAGTATGTGCTGGGTTAGGGGCTGGAAGGAGAGGCGAGGAACGCTGTTACTGGCTGGATCTAATGGGATGGGGGGTGAAGAGCGCGCGCGCGTGTGGTGTGTGTGTGTGTGTGTGTGTGTGTGTGTGGCCTCCTGTGTCTGCTTGTGTTTGTAGGCTACCTGTCTCGGTCCCTCTGTGGCAGGTATTTCTCTGGGGTTCCACCTGTGTGTAGGCCTTGTCTGTGAGAGGTCTCTGCGGTTGACCTCCTGTGTCTGTGTATGTCTGCCTTACTGTCTTTTATTTCCCCCTTTAAATATGACTTTCTATTGATTTTAGAGAGAGGAAGGGAGAGGGAGATAGAAACATAGATCCGCTGCCTCCTGCACGTCCCCCACTGGGGATGAAGCGCCCAACCGGCCTCCACTGGTAATCTAACCAGTGACCTCTTGGTGCACAGGACAGTACTCAGTCCACTGAGCCGCACTGCTGGGTCGTGTCTGCCTTTATTTCAGTCCATGGTGTCTTGGTGTAAGGGTACCATCCAGGTGTCCACCTGTGTCTAGTCTTTTCATCTATATCTGTCTGTGTCTCCGGGTGTGAGTGTGTCTGTGTGTGGGGGTGGGGGCTGCATCTCTCCTGTCCCTGTCTTTACCTGTCTCTGTATGTCCACCTGTGTTTGTCTCTGGGTATTGCTGAATATTTGTGTGTTGACTGTCGAGTGGGTGTGCTCTCCCGAAAGTTAGTATGAAAGATGCACATCTGGACAGGTGGGCCTGGAGGAGCTGCCTGTCTTCTTGACCCAGATCCCCATCTCTTTCCTGCCCCTCAGAGCGTCATCTGGCCCTGGGAGGGCAGGAAGTGTGTGATCACAAGGTGTGGGGCTAATAAAGAGGGTCAGAGAACCCTACCCCATCCTAACTAGTCTTGATTTGTTCAGGGAGTATATATTGTGTGCTCAGGGTATTGTTCTGGGCATTTTATAGGCCTCCTGGTAACTGAGGTAGGGACCCATATCAACCCCATTTTACAGATGGGGAAACTGAGGCTCAGAGACTAAGTGAATCACCCAGCTCTGCACCCAGGCATCCAGATTCCAGAGCCCTCACACTTAACCACCACACAGATGGAATATCCTTGTTTTCGTTCTGGCTCATCTGAGACAAAGTTGTAGGGCTTCCCCATGGGGATTTCCGCTTAGAAACAATGGATGGAAGGAAATGCCAGAACGCTTGGACAGAGAGGGGTGCGGGGAGGAGAAGGAGGCACCCCTGGCTTTGCAGCCACATAGATCTCAAGCCACACTTGGTTCATGGGTCACCAGCTCCGTACGCATGTCACTTCCAGGGCCACTGTGCCTCCTTTTAAATGAAATAAAAATTATAGTTGTGAATGGGTTGCTGTAAAGACAGATATGATCCTAGCTGGATTAGAGTTGTTGTTTTTCTTATTATTTTATTTTTTAAAATTTGACCTAAGCAAGCCCTTTTAAAAAATTTTTATTGATTTTAGAAAGAGGGAGAGAGAAACATTGATCAGCTGCCTCCTGCATGCCCCCCACTGGGGATCCAGCCTGAAACCTGGGCATGTGCCCTGACTGGGAATGGAACTCGCAACCTCTTGGTGCAGGACTATGCCCAACCAAGCAAGCCACAACGGCCAGGCTTGTTCTTATAATTTTAGAAGAAATGAAGGTATTTCAAGGGCCCCTACAGGTGTAAGGGACCAGGGACCCTGGGTCCACTGTGCCTCGCCTCCATCTCTAGCAAAAGGAGTTGGTGTTGACGTCACAGTGCAACAATAGGAGTCAGAGACTGAGAGTCCAGAAAGAATGCATTTGTAAAAAATTAAATTCAGTTTAAAAATCATGAAGTCATCCAGCCGGTGTGGCTCAGTGGTTGAACATCAACCCATGCACCAAAAGGTCGCCGGTTTTATTCCCAGTCAGGGCACATGCTCGGGTTGTGGGCCAAATCTCCAGTGGAGGGCATGTTCTCTCATGGATGTTTCTCTCTCGCTCTCTCTCTCCCCCTCTCCCTTCTCTCTAAAATCAATAAAGGGGAAAAAAAATTTTTTTAAATCATTAAGTCGCCCTGGCCGGTTTGGCTCAGCGGTTGGAGCGTCGGCCTGCGTTACAGAGAGACCTGGGTTCGGTTCCCGCTAAGGGCACGTACTTCGGTTGCAGTTTGTCCCGGGCCCTGGTTGGTCTTGCGGGTGGCAGCCACTCGATGTGTCCCTTCACATCGATGTTTCTCTCTCTCTCTCTTCCTCTCTCTCCCTTCCGCTCTATCTGAACAAAAAATGGAAAAATGTCCTTGGGTGAGGATAAAAAAAAAAATCATTAAGTCACTGCACCCAGGGACATAAAGGAATACAAAGGGGAAAAAGTTAACAGCACCCCCTTCCCCCACCAGGTTTCCGTCATTCAAGGGCCAGAAACACTGCCCAGCAGCACACACCCCACGTGAAATCACAGATAAGTCCGTGAGGGTAGAACTCGCTCGCTCCTGCTTCCTGGAGGCGACCTGGAGTTCCTGATGGGAACTGATTTTGTCTCCAGGGTGGGTTTGTGGGAACTGATTTTGTCTCCAGGGTGGTTTTGTTGGTTGGTTGCTGTTTTGCTTCTGGGAACAGTGCTACCATAAATATCGTTTGTCCACGTGTAACCTTTCACCTGGAGCTTTGGTGGCCGCCACGGGCAGAGCCTCAGGACCAGGGTTGCTGGGGGCTGGGTTCATCCAGCAGCTCACTTTCCGGGACGGCTGTGGGGCTGTGAGCGGAAGGCTCCGGCTCCGTGCGCCTTGGCCAGCGCTCGAAGTTGGCTCGTTTATTCTGTCTATTCGATAAGTGAAGCAGACATTGTCCTGGATACCAGAGGCAATCCCAAGTGACTGTCTCAGCTCTGCCCCTGCCAGCCCCCAGGCGACTACGGCACACTCTTTGGACCACACTGAACTAACAGCAGCAGTATCAACACCTGATACGGACTCAGTTCTTACTGTTTAGCGCATGGCCGCAGGTTCCCTACATGTATCTGTTCATTGAGCCTCACAGTAACCCCACAAGATTTGGGGGGAGCCCCGGAGGGTGGGGTGGGTGTTGAAGTATCCGTTTGGGCCTGGGATGGGACAGCGGGTCCTGTTCCTCCCTCCAGTGTTAGACGGGCAGTGTGCGCATGCGTGTTGGGGGAGGGTCGGTGCGATGCGCGTTTGAGAGGCAGCAAGCAGGTGGACCCAGACGTACTCGGCCCAGCTCCATTCCCAGCCGTCTCATCTTAGGCGAGTAACTTATCTCATTGGGCCTCAGTTTCCTCATCTGTGAAATGGGGTGAGTGGAAATAGCATCCACCTTGCAGAGTGTTAGGAGAATTAGATCAGAGATGTTTGCCGAATGCCTTGCGTGCTATGCCTCCCCCCCCCCCCCATGTGTTTGCAGTTAACAGTATCCCTCACTGCCTGTCCCCTGGTGGTTTGTCTGTCTGTCCGTCCTGGTGGGCCTTGGCCTGGTCTCTCACTGTGCCTTTCTCTTTCTCCCCCTGCACACAGCCTGCCCACCCTCCCGCCACCGTGGGCAGTGGACGGATGGCCGCCCAGCCACTGACAGATGAGGCCCTGGTGAGTCATGTCACCCTCTCGCACTTCCTACCCAAGCCCCACTCAGGCTCCAGGGCCAAGCCCTGTCCTAGTGGCGTAGGACACTAAATTAAGCAGAGACAAGGTTGAATCACATGTATTCCAATAATGCCGTCAGTATGGGGAGAACAGCAGGTCATCCTGGAAATTCTGCTCTAACACCCACTAGCTGGCCGATTATGTAGGGACAAGGAAGAAGGGCTATGGGGAAGGGGGCAGGATAAGGGCTGCAGGGTCCATGGTCTATGTGTCTCCTCCCAGGATCTTGAAGTCCAATAACAAGGTAGTGGATTGTCTGTGATGTTAAAACAGCTCAGCCCATTCCTGGACCGGAGGATGGTCAACATTCCTGAAGCAAACTCCTGGAGCAGGTCCAGGTGCAGGCACAGCAGCCAAGTCAAAGTGTGTCCTCTCCTTGGTCTGTTCTCAAAATGTGTTTTCTTTTCCGAGTAAGGGACCCATCCTGCTCCGAGGCGCCTTCTCTTTTTACAGTCGTTTCATCCTCCAGTTTCCAGGGTCTTTAAGAAAACCTCTTATCTATACTTAGTAAGGTGAATAATCATTACATAACTGTGGTTCTATTCTTATTACGTGCCCTTCCCCCTACCACTAGGGGCTGTGTCCATCCTGAGGAAGGAGGTATGGCCCTGACACTGGCTTCTGTCAACCACAGAGGGGGACAGGGCAGCTCAGGAGTAACCTGTCCTGCCCTGGGGGCTCTTGGGAGACACTGGTGGACACCTGGGAAGCAGTGGCTTAAAAACATCCTATCAAGTGTGACAAAGTTTCCTGCATTGACCCTGGCAGCGCAGTGCTAGACAAGTGACCTTCAGAAGCGGGCAGCCAGCACTAAATGTGTGTGTGCGGTGGGGGGAGCCTTGGGGAGGGACATGTGCACATCCCTGGGTGTTTTATGATGTTTTAGTGGGCTGCTATTTGTGGTATTTTCCTCTAAACTTCCTTTTATGCAAGAAACATTTCACAATTGAAAAAGATGCATGGCTGGGCCTACGTCTTTCCTCTGCATTTTGTGATTTCTTCAGGGGTGATTCCTTGCAGAGGAAAGTTGGGGTGGGTATTTTTAAGGCCTTTCGGAAGTCTTCATAGGTGTGGGTTGGGACAGTTGATACTCCCACCTGCGTGCAGGAGGGGCTGCCGCTGTTTCACACCAGTGGTTGCCTGGGTGTTTATTCTGCTTATTGGATACAAATGACAAACTTTCTGCGTGGTGTCATATGATCTCTTTCTGAGTAGCATTGGCTTAGAAAATGTTTATTGGCCATTTCTGCGTGCAGGCAAATGGCCTATCCTGTGCTTTGCCAGTCTACAGGAATCTTAGCATTCTTTTTTTTTTTTAATCCTCACCCGAGAACAATGCCTATTGATTTTAGAGAAAGGGGAAGTGAGAGAGAGAGAAAGAAACATCGATGCGCCAGTTGCCTCCCATATGCACCCTGACTGTGGATCAAACCCTCAACCTGGACATGTGCCTCGACTGGGAATTGAACTGTCGACCCTTCGGTCCATGGGACAACTCTCCAACCAACTGAGCCCCACTGTCCAGGACTATATTATTTTCAATACGAACAAAGATAGACCTACTTTTGCTCCACCCTGTATTTTGATCACCCAGAAAACTGTCACGCTCATTCATGACATCAACCCCCAGCCCCTGGCAACCACTAATTTACTTCTTGCCTCTGGCTTTGCCTATTCTGGACATTTCTTATTAATGGAGTTACATCCTATGTGGTTTTTTGTATCTGGCGGCTTTCACTGAGCATCAGGTTTTTGAGGTTCATCAGCAGGTGTTCCATCCTTTTTCGTGGCTACATAATATTCCATTGTATGGCTAGACCACATGTTTATCCATTTATCAGGTGGTATACATCTGGGTCGTTATGTAATGCTGCTGTGAACATTCGTGTACAGTTTCTTGTTTGAGCACTTCTTCTCTTGGGTGTAGGAGCGGAATTTCCAGGTCCTTTGATAACAGTATGTTTAACCATTTAAGAACGATATGACTATTTTCCAATGCAGCTGCACCATGATGTTCCCACTGTTACCTTGCCTTGGTTTCTTCTTTCACCAACATTACTTAGAAGGACTTGTTCACAGTTGTCATTTCAGTATGTTGGCATTTGGGTGTCCAGGGTTTTTTTTCCTTAATTTTAGTATGATTACATTCTGAGTTTTTAAAAAATACAGCCTGATGCCCTGGCTGGGTTACTCAGTGGGTTGGAGCATTGTCCCATACACAAAAATGTGTGGGTTCGATTCCCAGTTACAGCACATACCTAGGTTGCGGGTTTGGTCCCCAGTTGGGAAACATGTCCAAGGCAATCAGTAGATATTCTCTCCCATCAGTGTTTCTCTTCCTCTCTCTCTCCCTTCCTCCCTCTCTGAAATCAGTAGAAACATATCCTCAGTAAAGATTAAAAATAAATAAACGTAAAGGGGGGCAGGAGGAGACTTTGAGAGGTGAAGGATGAGTTTGTGCCCTCAACTGTGGCAGTGACTTCAAAGCGTGTCTCTGCGTCCAAATGTCCTATTGCATTAGGGGCCACCTTTCTCCAGTGTGACCTCATCTTAACTCATTACACCCGCATTGACCCTGCTGCAAATAAGGTCCTGTTCCTTGGTGCTGGGAACACGTACTTCCACACAGGGATTCCACACAAAATTCAACCAGTAACATGGCTTAGAATAGTGCCTGGCACAGAGCAATTGCATAGAGAGTGACGGGCGTCGTTACTGCTGTGACGGACGACATTGTCATCATCTTGTAATCGCCCCCCGTGCTGCTGAGCCACATTCATTCATGCACAGGGTCACAGCATCGTCTTCCTCAGGGCTCCCGTCTGCCTGGGCCGTGGGTCCTGGCTCACCTCCCCTCCCCCCAGTCCTTCCCCAAATACTGACCTACTAATTCTCCACACAGTCCACTCCTTTCCAGCCTCCTGGACACCCCCTAGAGCCGCTGTTGCTCAGGCACCTGGAGAGTTTTGTTCACGCTCATGATGGTAATGATCAGATTGCGGGTCGGTTACGGGTGTTTCCCTCTGCCTCTCCCACGAGGAACGACTTCTAGAACCTTCCATGTGTGTCCCAGCAGCTAGCTCAGTGCCACAGCTCGCAGGGGCTCAGCCAGCTTGTCGCATGACTGGACTCCATCGAGGAGACCACCTGTGTTGGCTCCTCATGCACATGTCAGTTCACTGGGTTATGGTCACTTTGCTGTTGATTCCTTCCCTGTTTTCCAGCTCTGACTTTCTGCTCCGAACGGTCCCATATTTCCTTCGTCTGTCTGCGGACTGTCCCGTCGTGTGTAGGCACCAAGAACACTGAGTGGTCAGGCCCTTCAGAGCCCTGCACCTTGTTGAAATCCCGTCAGATACGTCCTGAGCGCCTTCCCTGATCCTCTCGGCCCCTCTGGCCACTTCTCCCGACCTCTGTGAGGAGGGCCCTGCAGTGAGTGGTGTGGGTTTCCTCTTACAGGAGTCAGTGACGTTCAGGGATGTGACTGTGGACTTCACCCAGGAGGAGTGGCAGCAGCTGGAGCCTGCCCAGAAGGACCTGTACAGAGACGTGATGCTGGAGAACTACAGGAACCTGGTCTCGCTGGGTAAGGGGACAGCTTCACTGCCTGTCACTGCAGGATTGCAAAGACTAAAAAAGACTGCCAGATTTGACCAGGGAGAACGTTCAGATTACTCGAAGCTCAAAGTAAAGCTGTTCGGTGATGAAATGGGGAATGGTATTTATCACATGTATAATGGTCAGAGGCTTATAAATATAAAAAAAGCTCCTAGGAATAAATGAAAAAAAGACTGGCCCTGGCTGGTATGGCTCAGTTAGTTGAGCATCCTCCTGTGTACCAGGAGGCCAGTTTGAAACATCGATCAGCTGCCTCCTGCACACCCTCTACTGGGGATCGAGCCCACAACCCGAGCGCTGACCGGGAATTGAACCAGTGACCTCTCAGTTCATGGGACGACACCCAACCCACTGAGCCACACTGGCCAGGGCTGGTCCCATTTCTTTAACAGTTTTTGTGGAGGTATAATTGGCCAATTAACCGCACATATTTAACGCAAACAGTTTGATACCTTTTAACATTTGTCTATACCCAGGAAACATTCACCGTGATCCAAATAAATCCAGTAGCCCCAAAAGTTTCTCCTTCTTTTTCCCCACCCTCCATCCCTAGACAACCACTGATCTGCTTTAGGTCACAGTAGTTCAGTTTGCCTATTCTAGAATTTTATATATATGGACTTTTAAGGCATGTATTCTTTGGGGGGGGGTCTGACTTCATACATTTGGCATCATTTTTTGAGGTTCACCCACGTTGTCCCTATGTATCAGTAGTTCACTTCTTTTTATTGCTGAGTAATATTCTACATCATGGATCGACCACAGTATGTTTACCCACTCACTTGATGATCAATGTTTGGGTTATTTCCACTTCTGGACATTTGTTCTGTTAGGCATATGCTTTCCTTTCTGCCGAGAATGGTTGGGTCACATGTAGGTGTGTATTCAGCTTTTTAAGAAGCTGCCAAACTCTTGTCCAAAGCAGTTGTCTCGTTTTTCACTTGCACCAGCAAGCGTCAGAAGTTGCAGTGGCCGCATGTGTTTGTCAGAACCAAATCCGCCCAGTCTTTCTCATTTTAGGTGAGATGCGCAGTCTTACTACATTCCAGTTTCCCTCTGATACTGACCATCTTTTCAAGTGCTGACTTTCCATCTCTGTATTCTCCTCTGTGAAGTGTCTGGTTCAAATCTTTAGTCTGTTTTCTTCAGTTGGGTTGTTTCCTTCTTACTCAGTTTTGAAAGTTCTTTACATATTCTTTTGCTGTTAATTTTGTCGTTAATCCTCACCCGAGGATATTTTTCCATTTATTTATTTATTTATTTATTTATTTATTTATTTATTTATTTATTTATTTATATAGAGTAGAGGGGGAGGGAGGGAGAGAGAGAAACATCGATGTGAGAAAGACATCGATTGGTTGCCTCCCACATGACCCTGACCAGGGCTGGGAACTGAACCTGCAGCCCAGCTGTATGCCCTTAACCAGGAATTGAACCCTCAACCCTTCAGTCCAGAGGCCAATGCTCTCACCACTGAGCCAAACCAGCCAGGGCTTTTGCTGTTAATTCTTGATAGAAGTCCTTTATCAGACACAGGCTGTGCACCTATTTCTCCCTTTCTGCGGGTAGTCTTTTCTCTTCCTTGACGGTATCATTTCAGACACAAATGTTTTTCCTTTTAATGTGGTCCAGCCCAAGGCCACGAAGACTGACTCCTAAGACTTTTAAAATGTTAGCTTTTCATATTGGTCTTTGGTCCATTGTGAGTTAATTGTTGTGAATGATGTAAAAAGAGGCTAATGTCACTGTTGTTTTTTTTATTACATTCATTAGGGTGACATTGGTTAATAAGATCATAGAGGTTTCGAGCATAGATGTCTATGATACATCATCTGTATATTGCATCGTGGGCCCATTACCCAAAGTCCTTTGGATACCCACGTGCCCCCACACCATTTGTTGATGAAGTTTCTAATTTGATGAAGTCCAGTTTATCAATTATTTTCTTTGGAGATTGTGCTTCCAACCATATTCACAACCAAGACTCTTCTCTCTCTGATCTCTGCAGCCACAGGCCAGTTATGTCCCCAGTGAGTCTCAGATCCAATGTCTCCAAACCAAACCCACCATCACCCTCCTTCCCTCTTCCCTCTGGAACTTTACGCTTAGCCTCATGGCCCAGGCCGCCACTGCCCTGACATCTGAGCGTCACACCCACGCCCCCGGGGTCACCAAACCAGATCCTTCTCCTACCTTAAGTACTTCTCAAATGCTTTCCTCTGGGATGGACAGTGACATGTAGCCAAACAGTGACTCAGGGATGTGACCACTTGACTGAATGTGCTGTGTGACCTTGAGGGTGTGATTCCATTCTCAGAGCCTTGGTTTCCCCATCTGTGAAATGGGTGCAATCTTACCAGCACCTACGTGCCATTGGCCGGGTTGCATGAAACAATTCTTGTGGGCTACTTCGCACCATACCAGCATGTGGCCAATGCTCAGTGAATGTTCATCAGGTGCCTTGTGTGTGCCAGATGCTGTGTAGGCTCTGGGGACCAGCAAGGCTCCTGCCTTCACTGGACTCACTTTCCACTGGGGAAGCTGGTAATAAGCAGATCAGGGATGAACGCTGTGATGAGTGCTCACAAGGAAGCAGGAGACAGAATGACAGGCAGGGCCTTCCTTTCCACCTGCCGTGGGGGATGAAGGCTAACTGAGGCCTCAAGGATGAACCCCCTTAGGAAGGCCAGGGGAACGGCCGATGCAAAGGCCCTGAGGCAGGAAGCACTTGACATGCCCAAGGAAATCAAAGGAAGGAGTCAGGAGAGTAGGAAGGTGTTTACTCTGATCCCCAGTGTATTGGGAAGACACTGGAGGGTTTGGTCCGACTCATGATCCTCTTCCTGAGGAGTGGAGAAGGTGTAGAGGGTGAGAGTGGAGGCTGTTGTTACATTTCGGGCAGGAAACTCGGGGGGGCTGGCTGCATCATGGGCAGTGAGGATGTGTAGACCCAGTTCAGTTCAAGCTGTTTTTCATGGCCTGTGCATGTGTTAATAGTCTGGACAGTGGGAGGGACGGGATGAGTCAAGGATGACTACTAAATCTTTATCAATTAAAAGGTCTTTTTAAATTTTCTTAATGGCAACAAAATATACATAGCATCAATTTGACCATTTTAAGTATTTTTAGGTGCACAGTTCAGTGGCATTAAATACATTCATATTGTGCAACCATCACACCATCTGTCTCCCAAACTTTTTTTTTTAATCCTCACCTGAAGATGTGTTTTTTTCATTGATTTGAGAGAGAGAGAGAGAGAGAGAGAGAGAGAGAGAGAGATACAACATTGATATGAGAGAGAAACATCAATCCGTTGCCTCCCTTACGTGCCCCAACTGGGAACTGAACCTGCCACCCTTTGGTGTACAGGACAATGCCCAACTAACTGAGCCACACTGGCCAGGGCTCCAGAAGGCTTTTCATCATCCCCAACTGACAATCTGTCCCCATTAGACAGCAGCTCTCCTCCTACCCCCAGCCCCAGGCACCCATTGTCCTACTTTCTGTGAATTGGACGACTCTGGCTGCCTCATGAGTGGAATCATCCAGTATCGGTTTGTCTGTGTCTGACTTATTTCACTAAGTCTCTGATGAGCCTTTCTGTTTAATATTTTGGGGTTGGAGGTTCCAAAATCACAAGCTTCATATCAAATGTGTTAGGTTTGCACTGTCGAAAGGGTCACCCAGTGGGCAGAGCTCAGAGAGGAGGTCTGTGCTGGCAGTATCCACTTAGGTGGCATCAGTGTCAGGGGACAGGTCTCAGACTCAGGAGTGGGGGCCAGTGGGAGCTTAAATGGTGGAGGGGGCCAGCTGCTTACTCCTGCTCCTCTTGTGGCCTCCTAGGAAGGAGGGCTCCATGTGGCTGGGTCTTCACTTTTATTGTTGTTAATCCTCACTAGTGGATATTTTCCCATTGATTTTCAGATAGAGTGGAAGGGAGGGAGAGAGAGAGAGAGAGAGAAACATGGATGTGAGAAAGACACATCGATTGGTTGCCTCCGGTATGTGCCCTTGATCAGGATCGAACCTGTGACTGTTTGGTCTGAGGGAGGACACTCTAACTGCTGGGCCAAAGCAGCCAGGACAAGGATCTTCACTTTTTTGTGAGATTTTTGTGTAAGATCTCACAGTTATGTTTGTTTTGTTGTTTAATGTTTGTATTGATTTTAGAGAGAGAGGAAAGGAGAGGGAAAGATAGAAACATGCATTGGCTACCTCCTGCACACTCCCTGTTGGGGATGTGCCCTGACCACAAATCAGACTGGGGCCCTCTTGGTGCATGGGAGGACAACGCTAACCAACTGAGCCACACCTGCCAGGCAGCTCTCACAGGTTTTAAATGCTTTGAGGTCCATGATGCAGAGTCTGGAACTCAGGAGAGCCCCCAGACTGGAAACAGAATGAGAGATTCAGGGGACACACGAAGGAGGGGATTGATAGCAGGGAGAGACGTGGTCAAAGAGGGGGGGCAGGGCTGGTGGGTGGGGCGATGGAGGACAACCAGTACATTCCACATGAGGGTTCCCTCTTATCTAATAAAAGTCAGTGCTTTGCCCTGGCCAGTTTGGCTCAGCGGTTAGAGCGTCGGCCTCCGGTCCGGAGAGACCTGGGTTTGGTTCCCGCTAAGGGCGCGTACTTCGGTTGCAGTTTGTCCCCGGCCCTGGTTGGTCGTGCGGGTGGCATCCACTCGATGTGTCCCTTCAGGTCGATGTTTCTCTCTCTCTCTCCCTTCCTCTCTCTCCCTCCCAGTCTATCTGTACAAAAAATGGAAAAATATCCTCGGGTGAGGATATAAAAAAAAAAAAAGTCAGTGCTTTGAGGGGGTGTGCAGGATGAGGCCTGGAAGCCAGGGGCTCAGGGCAGAAATCCCTCACTGGGTTTGTGGGAGCCTTGATCCGCTCCTCTAAGGCCGCCTTCCTCCCCTTTCTCTCCAGGTGTCGGTCCGCCCAGCTCTGAGCTCTGCTGCCCGCCTTTGCACCCACTTCTGAGGGGACCTCTCGCTCTCTGCCACCTCTTTAAACCGCACTGTGTCCGCTCACTGCTCCCCTTCTCCCTCTGGGCCCGCGACAGGCGTCACTTACTCCCAGTGGGTGCCTTGCCGTGTCTTGGGAAGTTCCTCCCTCCCAGCGTTGTTAACTACATGTGTGTCGTCTTCTCTTTCCCCCTCCCCTCAGACTTGGAGTCTAGACCTGACATGAAAGAATCGGACTCACAGGAAGACGTTTCAGAAGACAGACCATCCGTGGGGGGGGTGGCGGAAGGACCCCCGAGGAACGGTGCCCCGGGTTCCACCCGCCAAGGAGCGGGGACACAGGGTGACCGGACGGGGCCGCGGCAGGGGGGTGCAGGGACCTGCCTGGGGCGGCTGGACATTTCCCAGGTGTTAGCCCCTGAATGTCGTGGCTTTAAGGCATTCGTCGTGCCCGAGAGCCCCACGCCGGCCCCGCCGAGATCGGAGGGACAGAGAGGAGCGGGGACTCTGCCGCCCGCCATGCACAGGAAGAACTCGGGCACCGCAGGCCTCAGCCCTCCGTCCAAACTCCAGGCGGAGAAGAAGCCCTACGAGTGCAGGGAGTGCGGCAAGGCTTTCGGCTGGAGCTCGTCCCTGATGAAGCACCAGCGGACCCACACCGGGGAGAAGCCTTTCTCCTGCGCCGCGTGCGGGAAGCAGTTCATCGAGCGGTCGTCCCTCACCATCCACCAGCGCGTGCACACCGGGGAGAAGCCGTACCGGTGCGGGGACTGCGGCAAGGCCTTCAGCCAGCGCATGAACCTGACCGTCCACCAGCGCACGCACACCGGGGAGAAGCCGTACGTGTGCGCCGTGTGCGGGAAGGCCTTCCGGAAGACCTCGTCCCTGGCCCAGCACGAGAGGATCCACACCGGGGAGAAGCCGTACGCGTGCGGGGACTGCGGCAAGGCCTTCAGCCAGAACATGCACCTGGTCGTGCACCAGCGCACGCACACCGGGGAGAAGCCGTACGTGTGCGCCGTGTGCGGGCGCGCCTTCAGCCAGAGCATGCACCTGACGGAGCACCAGCGGACGCACACGGGCGAGAAGCCGTTCGCGTGCGGAGACTGCGGCAAGGCCTTCAACAAGAGCTCGTCGCTCACGCTGCACCGCAGGAAGCACACTGGCGAGCGGCCTTACGCGTGCGGCCAGTGCGGCAAGGCCTTCAGCCAGAGCGCCTACCTGATCCAGCACCAGCGCTTCCACATCGGCGTGAAGCCCTTCGAATGCAGCGCGTGCGGCAAGGCCTTCAGCAAGAACTCCTCGCTCATCCAGCACCGGCGCGTGCACACCGGCGAGAAGCCCTATGAGTGCGCCACCTGCCAGAAGCACTTCGCGAGCCGCTCGTCCCTGCTGGTGCACCAGACCGGCCACACCGGCGAGAAGCCCTACGCGTGCGCACAGTGCGGCAAGGCCTTCAGCCAGAGCGCCTACCTCATCGAGCACCAGCGCATCCACACCGGGGAGAAGCCCTACAGGTGCGGCCAGTGCGGCAAGGCCTTCATCAAGAACTCCTCGCTCATCGTCCACCGGAGGATCCACACGGGGGAGAAGCCCTACGAGTGCGGCGAGTGCGGGAAGACTTTCAGCCGGAACACCAACCTCACGCGACACCTGAGGATCCACACGTAGCCCGGGGATCCAGACGAGGCCGGTCGGCCCTGAGCACGGGGCAGTGCTGGACTTTTGACTGCGAAACCCACGGGTAGTGCGCTGTCGAGAGAAGCCCACGGTCTTAGGAATTTGGGCGCTGGGAACAGGACGCGCCTTGTACACTAGCTCCTTCCGGAGCATCTGCACAGTCGCAGTGAAAAGCAAGCTCCTTCAGGTCTAGTATCTGGAACCGAGGCCAGGTTCACTGTGGCTCCAGATCGAGGTCGGAGTAAACTGTCGTAAGATTGGACAACGTATTTAGTGTCTCTGGGTCTCCGGCTCCTTGATAGTCAAGTGGAGGAGGGGGAGGGGAAGAAAGAGTGGGGAAGTGGGTTCCATAAGTGAACATGGGACATTTTCACGTTGTCACACATGCCTGGATCTAGTCCAGAGGTCAGGTTGTCCACATCTGTCCCCGTACCCCTCCCAGTTTCTCTACAACACTCGCTGGAAGGCCTCAAGCTAATAAGCAGTAGAAGTTGCCAAGCTCATGGGAAAAATTTGTTTTCAGTGTTAGGAAGCAACAGTAATCGCTTCGGATGCCAAAATTTCCCATAGTAGTCTGTTAAAAATTTTTTTAAATAAAACTTTTAATTAAGGGAGATCAATGTCATTTTAAACAGTCATCAGTGGTGAAAGACACAGGTATCAGTTGTCCTGTCAAAATGAGTGTCAACAATTGTGAGGAAGGGGGGGAAAGAAACGCGAATACCCCACCGGAACCCCAGATCCCAGCAGGCCTACCCCACAAATGAGGCCCTCTGTCCCTCCCAGCCCTGGATTCCTGACTTGGGAATGGTCAGACCAGAAGGCTGGGCCCAGACCCTTAGCCTCAGAGATGGGGGAAGGCCCCTCCTGCAGTAACCCAGCATGATGGCGTGAGCCCCCCAGGTAGGGCTGTTTCAGAGGTACAGAGAGAACAGTCCTCTCTCGGATCACAGACTACCCTGCCCCCCTATGCTGGCTGGAATTCTTGTGAAAATAAAGTGCCTTCATGCCTTCAGACAAGGGGCGCATTATCCTATCTATGCCTCATCCACAGCCTTAGTCATTTTACTTATTATTTCATTATGGATGATAATAGCGATTGATTATCAATAATAAGTAGCAAACAGTAAATATAAAAATGGTGCTCTATTATCAATAAAACGATACATAAAATATTTATTAATAAATGGGTAATTAATTAGTACTCAGAGCACTATTATTATCCCGGGTTTTCCGCTGAGGAAATCAAGGCTCAGAGCTCCAATACATTGCACGACGAAAATTCCGCAGGCATTTTCTGGTGGGCGGCGCGGATTCCCCAGCGGCTGTGCGGTAGCTGCCTGCGCCTGCGCGGCCTGGGAGCCACGCCCACCTCTGCCCTGCAACCGCGGTGGGCGGGGACAATGGGAGGCGAGGGGAGAGAAGGAAAGGGAACCAAGGAGAGGAGAAAGAAGTAGGAGAGGGAAAGGGGTAGGAGGAAGGTGAGAGGGTGAAGGAGGGAAGAAAGGAGAATCACCCCCCTCAGGACTGACAAGATCAGTACGAAAGTGACTGATAAGAACAAGTTGGGAACGGGAACTCTGGCGTCAGATCTGCCAGGGTTCAAATTCCAGCTCTGTGTCTGACCAGAGCGGTCATTTTCTGAGCCTCGGTTTCCTTCTCTGTATAATGGGGATAAGGATAATATCTACCTTATAGTGTTGTGAGTAACACAGGGAAGCATTTAGAATAGTCCTTAGCACATAGAAAGTTCTGTTATGTGCCATCATTCTAATGATTTTATCATCCGTTCCTAAAGTTGACAGGAGGTTTAAGTGCAACCATGCTTCATGTCTGTTATCAGAATAGGTTTCCCTGGGGTTTGTTGGTCTCCCATGACCAGGGAGAAATATTAGCAGGAAATTATATCTATCTACACACACACACACACACACACACACACACACACACACGCAGCACCAGGAGGCTCAATAAGTTTTCCATCTTCTTCATCGTGGGTGCTCATTTACCCAATGAACATTCCGCAGGGCATTGAGTTTCATGGGGGGGGGGGTTCTTTTGGCCCAAGTTTCTTTAAAGAGCTTCCTAGAGGGAATGTTTATTTATAGGTGATCATCTGCTTTCCAGAAAGGCTGAGTGGTGGAAAGAAGTGGAGAAGAAGAAACAGGTGTGTGGAGCTGGCTTTTTTTTTTTTTTTTTCACTGCTGAATTTGTGGCACAAAATGTTGATATGACAGATGTGCATGGACAGGGGGAAGAGGGAAATGGGTCAAAAAGGAGCCTGAGTTGTTTTCTTTCCCACTTAGTGGTGGGGTAGAGGCTGTTTTAAGAAATAAGAAAGTGGATGCCTGACACATAAAGACCTAGAATTTCTGTATCCTCTGAGAAGCAGGAATCTCATGAGACCAGAGGCTTCAGGTGAACAGCAAGTCATTTACTCAACAAGTATCTGAGCACGTCCTTCCAGGCGCTGGGAGTCCAGCGGTGAGTGAACCAAACCCAAAGCCCTTTGTCTCACGGAGCCCCTACTCCTAATTTTTTAGTGAGATCAGATGATGAGGTAAAAATGAAGGGAGGGGCTACCTCAGCTTTGGCAGTTGGGGAGGACCTCTTTAAGAAGGTGACCTTGGAGCAGAGCCCCAATTAGCAAAGAAGAGAGAGCTGTATGGATATCAGGGGAAAGGACATTGTCTTCTCAATCCAGGGCTCAGTGGTGTCTTGCTTGGAAGAGAGGAAATATTGGCATCACCCAAGGATATTTCCTTAGAGAGTTGACTAAATAGATTAGGATTCATCTGGGCAAGAAACGGTGAGGAAGAGCTAAAGATACCAACATGGAAGATTTTCTGAGTTACAGCATATGAGAGAAAAAGGAAGGTGGCTCTCTTCTGGCAAAACTGCAACTATCAGTTTCTTTGGAAGCCATCAAGAAATGTTGTACGGGTACACACACCTCATCTGATCCTAACAGGACTATTAATCAAAGGAAGTGAATGGTGGCACTGACTTTCCTATTGCTGGTGGTCTGGATTCACAGGAGGGCAATGTGTGGTTCCATGGCAATCACCATCTCTCACTTATATGTGGAATCTAATGGACAAAATAAGCTAATAAAATAGAACCAGAGGCATGGATACATGGAACAGACTGACAGAGGTCAGAGGGAAGGGAGGAAACTGGATAAAAGAAGTTGAAGAAAGTAGCCAAAGAACATAACCCATGGACAACAGAAAACAGTGTGGTTATGGCCAGGAAAGTGGCAGGGGCTGAATAGAGGTGGGCAAAGCATGGAGTAAATGGGGAACAACAATAAATTATATATATACACACACACACACATATATTAAAAATTATATATACATACAATTAATTTTTTTATTGTTGACAGTATTACAAATATCCCCTATATTCCCCTCCTTTGCCTAGAGATTCAGCATCACGGACAGGTTTCCCTATGAGGTTCAACGCCACTGCCAGGTACATGGGGATATGAGTTCAGCACCACGGACAGAGCCGTCGACCCGACTCGGCGCCGGTCTTAAAGTGAGTTCAGCACCAAGGACAGAGAGCAAATTCAGCGTCCCAAGTCATCATTGATTCAGGACCACGGACAGCGGGGCTCCGCAAATATGGTTCAGCACCACGGGCAGTGGAAAGGGGGTCGGGGTTCAGCACCACGGACAGATCCCTGCGCTGTTGCGTTCAGCACCGCGGGCAGCAGCTTTTCGATGTGCGGAAGCCTATCTGGAGGGTTTCAGCACCGCCGACACCGCCAGGAGCCTGCTTTTCCCAGGGCCTCCCCTAGGCGCATGTGCTCTTCTAAGATTCCTGGGCCTACTCCCGGACCCTCACCCCAGAATCTCTGAATGCTGGCATCTCAGGAGTCAAGGCTCTCCTGGCGTTAACCTCAGAAATACAAGCATTGAATACTTAACATGCCCTAAAGAGCATTCTGGATTTTCCCCATGCACACACACAAAATTGATTCTTCTCAGTACACTACAGGGCACTCAGCTGCTCAGGCTCAAAGTCCCAAAGTCCTCCTTGAGTTATCCCTTCTCACCTCTCGCACCCCGTCCACCAGTGTGTCCACTCTGCTCCATCTTCAAAGTAGATTTGGAATCTGTCCCCTGCTCTCCACCCCTGTGCCACCACCTCGTGCCAGCCACCATCATTCTCACCTGGTTTATAGCAACAGCCTCCTAAAGGGTCTTTCCATTGTACCTGGTGCACTCTCCACACGGCAGTTTCATTGATACCTTGAAAATGTAAACCAGGTTATGTGACACGCTTCCTCTGTACCCTTCTTTCCATGGCTTTCCAGCACACCTGTGATGACATTGTAAGATGTGACCGTGGCTCTCCAGACCCTGGATGCTTCGCTGGTTTTATCTTTCATCACTCCTTTCTTGCCTGAATACTCTGGACACACAGGCCAGGAGAAAATACCTTCAGATAAACCATCAAAGGAGCCCTAGCTGGTGTTTCTCAGTGGTTAGAGCGTTGGCCCACTCACTGAAAGGTCGTGGGTTCAATTCCCAGTCAAAGGCACTTATATAAAAGAAGATTTTCCCCCCTTCATCTATGGCTTCGTCAAAAAATTTAAAATTTTGATGTGGCCTCCATGAGAGCAGTTGGAAGGTAGTCGCTGCATTGTCAAGGTGAATAATGATGATAATAAGAGCAGCTATTAGCTAACAGCTATTAGCAGTATATGGGCATTATTTATTTTTTACCTTCACAGCAATCCTGCGAGGTAGTATGCATATTATATCTACTTAACAGAATGGGAAACTGAGGCACAGAGATGATAAGTGACACACCCAAAGACACAGTAGTGGCAAAGGGCAAAGCCAGCCTCTGATTCCAGGATCCCCAGATTGCCACACCCTTGCCCAGCTCCTTCCTTTTCCCTCCCCCACCCAGACTGTGGACTACAGAACCTAGGGGCCCCCGAAGTTGTTGCCTTAGCAGGACGTGGACATAGCCTTTGTGCCCACCGGCGGGGGATGGACAGCTCATCCCACTGTGGCCGACCTCACGAACAGCAGAGCACCACACCCCACATGCCCACGCCACCCCCACCGCACTGCAGGCGCTTCGTCACAGTCGCTTCTCTGCTCCCCTCCCCTCTCCAGTCCTCCCCATCTCCCGCCAGGCGCAGGTTCTCCAGGGCGGGGAAAGAGGAGGGAAGAAGGCTGCCCACTGGCCCCTTCTCTACCCCCCGCCCTGCCCCCCACCCACAGCCTCCGAGTCTGCGCAGTGGCGATCCTGCAGCCCCGATCCTGTAGCGCCACCTCTGCAGCGCTGTGAAGGGTCTGGTTGGGGAGGGTGAGTCCTTTCAGGGATCCCGCGGACAGAAGGGAGCGGGGAAATGGGGCTGGGGGCGAGGGCGGTGGTGCCAGGACACGCGTGTGAATGTGAATGTGTGTGCCTGGGGTGAGGGGCCAGGTCCGCTCCGGGGAGGTGGCGCCGGGGAGGGGGTCTCCGGCCCATCCAATGGGCGAAGGCTGGTTTGCGTCTGTTTCTAAGTCAAGCGTGGTCTGTCCACCGGCCAGGGAACTGCACCTGAATGTCTGCCTCGGCGCGAGGAGGTCAGGATGATCCCGCATTGATGTCCTGCGTCTGCGTCTGCACGCGGTTTGTGTGTGCTCTGGTCTCCCGGGGGCTCCGTGTCCGTGTGCGCCCTCGCCGTGTGTTCCGTGCGCCCGCCCGCGTGTGCACCGTGTGTCTGGGCACTTGTGTACTCCCCGCAATGGTTGGGTGCTCAGGCGCTAGAGGCAGGCAGGGTTCGCCTCCCCGCCCAGCTCCAATTGGCCCTACGGCTTTGACCCAGGGCCTTCTCCGTCGGTACAGCAGAAGCATAACCGTGTCTGCCGCGGAGAACCATGGCGCGAGGTGCACGGGGCCCGGCGCACCCTTTTGCAATTACTACCGTGGTGGGGTCGGCGTTGTTGTTACGGCATCTCCGGCCTTTCTTCATAGGGAGGCCTTGTTTGCTATTTCGCCGGGAATACAAGCTGTGGGTATGAGCTCCCTCGCACGCTCACCCCATCACACGCGCGGAGTTCTCCGTCCCCTCCCACCCTCCCTCCTCCATCCAGGCAGATCCAGCTTCTTGGGCCCGGACCCCATGGCTCTCATCTTCTCCCTCTGTCACCTCTCTCCTCTGCATTCCTGGCTTAAACACAGGACCGATTGTATCTCCTATTGAAAAGAAAACAAAAACAGTAAACAAAACAGCACCCCTACCAGTGCCCTCTCACCAATTTCTATCAAGGCCAATTTATTTCACCCCGTCCCCCCTCCCTTGGCCTTCACCACAGTGTTGTCTGGGGTTTCTTTTTTGTTTGTTTGTTTGTTTGTTTGTTTGTTTTGGTACGTGCCCCTAGTGGGAACTGAACCCGGGACTCTTGTCCACAGGCCGATGCTCCAACCACTGAGCCAAACCGGCCAGGCCTGGGGTTTCTTTTTTAATCCTCACCCAAGGATATATTTTTATTGATTTTAGAGAGACAGAAAGGAGAGAGAGAGAGAGAGAGAGAGAGAGATCCCACATGCACCCTGACCCGGGATTGAACCCACAACATGGGTATGTAACCTAACTGAGAATCAAACCCGCAAACTTTTTGGTGTACGGACAATGCTCCAAACAAATGACACTCCAACCAACTGAGCCACACCGTCCAGGGATTGTCTGGGTTTCATGGAAACTGTTGTCTATGCTGGAAGCCTCCTCCTCTGGCCCCCGCAGCCTCCCCAGCCCACAGGGACACTGCAAACCTGAAGCCCAGGCCCCAACCCAGCCCCACCACCTGTGCTAGTTGGTTCGCAGCCTGTCTTCCTTTTAAACATTTAAACAATCACTGGCATTTTAAAACGCAGGTTGCCGCGACCTGCACAGCTAGTCAAACCAGACCTGAGGAGGGGCGACAGGAGATTAAGAAAGACAGAGACATTGTAGAGAGGAAATCTGGGGCAGGCGGGACACTGCCCCCTGTTGGAGGAACAGTGGCCCCGAGCTGGCTCAGCATGTTTATTATATAGCAATAGTGAAGGACGAGGAGTTCAAAAGCTTCATTGTCTTCAAACCAGATGTTTTCACCAGCCTCTGAGCTCAAGGTCGAGACTGTCGATACAATATTGCCCACAGTTCAGAAGGTTCCTGTGTGGGCTTTGCCAGCATCGCAGGGTCAACAAGAGGCTTTGGGCAGAATGCTCCTGGGTGAGCCGGGCAAACACCACAGGTTCAGCAAAAGACCTTGGCTCAGCCGCCCTCCACAGCAAATATCCTCTAAAAACACAGATTTCCCATGTTCTTGTGAGAAATCAGAAGACGGAACACACTGGACCGTGTGCTCACAGGGCAAACCTTGGCTGTGCTGCACGGGGTAGTTTCTTCAAACGGAGCGCCTGATCTCTCCTTTGCTGCAACCCCACCTCCTTATGGCTTCTCCTCAGCCCGTGCATCCTTTGCCCCTGGTTCACGTTTTCTTTCCAATAGAGGTGTTTCTGTGTTTACAGTCAGGGCTTTAAAAAAGACCCCACAATGGTTGATGATTCAGCAGAACCAGGTTCAAAAACACAACAACCCCTGGCTGGGTCACTCAGTTGGCTGGAATGTTATCCTAATATATCAAGATTGTGGGTTCAATCCCCAGTCAGGGCACATAATAAAAAGAACCAATGAATGCGTAAATAAGTGGAACAACAAATATCTCTCTCTCTCCCTGATTTTAAAAAACAACAAAATTCATGCAATGTATAATTCCAAAAGTCAGCATTTATTTACATATATATTGACACAGATGTGCAGCAAACCACAGGTGAAGTTACCTGAAGTTAAACGACTTGTAGTTTGCTTTATTGTTCTCAGTGGGGTCTAAAATACAGAATACTGGGCGTGACGTGTCCAGCTCAATCCAGGTAAAGATCAGTGAATTTCCACAAAGGTCTTCACCCCTGGGACCACCACTCAGATCAAAATATAGAACACAACCCCCCCAAAGTCCCCCATGCTCCCCTCACGTGCCCAGCCCAGTATGACCACTGTTCTGATTTTTATCAACATTGATTCATTTTACCTGGACCAGGCTTTGTTTTCAATCAATAAAATCACACATATAGCCCTTGCTAGTGGCTCATTGGTTGGAGCATCATCCCATACACGAAAAGGTTGAGGGTTTGATTCCCAGTCAGGGCACATACCTAGGTTTTAGGTTCCATTCCCCATCAGGGTGCTTACAGCAGGCAGCCGATCAATGTTTCTGACATAGGTGTCTCTCTCTCTTTCTCTGTCTCCCCCTTCCACTCTCTCTAAAATCAATTTAAAATATTTTTTCTTTATTGATTTGAGAGAGAGAGGGAGAGAGAGATATAAACATCGATGAGAGAGAACATCAATTGGCCACCCCCTGCATGCCCCCCGACAGGGATCTGGCCCATAACCTGGGCAGGTGTCCTGACCGGGAATCAAACTGGCAACTTCTTGGCGCATGGGTCGACGCTCAACCACTGAGCCACACCAGCTGGACTCTAAAATCTTTTTTTTTTTTTAATCCTCACCGGAAGACATTTTTCCATTTTTTTGTTCAGATAGAGTGGGAGGGAAAATGCTCTAATCAACTGAACTACCTGGTCAGGGCCACTTCCACTTTTTTTTTTTTTTTTACCACAAAGCAGAAAGTCAGGGTTGCAGGCATCAGGCAGGAAGATGGGTCCTTCTTTCTCCAGCCACAGGGATCCTGTATGTGACTGTCTGCTAAAAACTCCTGGCTCTACGTTTTGGGACATGGAATGAGTGTGTGTGTGTGTGTGTGTGTGTGTGTGTGTGTGTGTGTTTCATTATTTGTCTCCAGAGCATTTATCATCATCTGACATGCTATCTGTCTCTCTCCCCAATCTACACCATAAGCCTCGCGAGGGCAGGGAGCCTCTTTGCCATCATTTCTGTATCTCAGCCCCTAGAAATCGTGTCTGGCACACAGTGGCACTCTGAATAATTTTTTGGATGATTAAATGCCTGTCATTCCTCAGGTTCCAAATCCTGTGCTTGGGGAACCCAACAGGACACTGGGCCAGAAGAAGAAGGTCACCTTGGGAACATCACCGCCTAGAGACATGCAGAGTCTCAGGTCTGAGCAGCTGCGGGGGCTGCTGGAGCCCGAGAGGACCAAGACGCTGCTGCCCCGGGAGAGCAGGGCCTGGGAGAAGCGAGCCGCCTTCGTCAAAGACTGGGTGGCGGTGAAGATTGGGGCATCCATCTGTGACGGTGACAAGAAAGGTGAGGGGCAGGTGTCTCGAGGGAGGTGGTGGGAAATGTCAGGGCAGGACCTAGGAAAGATGAAATAATCATTGCTTCACTTATTCAACAAGATTTTCAGTTTTTATTGATTGATTTTAGAGAGAGAGAGTGGAAGGGGCAGAGAGAGAGAGAAACATTGACTTGTTGTTCCACTTCTTGATGCATTCATTGGTTGATTTGTTTTTCTTTTTTTATCCTCACCCGAGGACATTTTTCCATTTTTTGTTCAGATAGAGTTGGGAGAGAGAGGGAGAGAGAGAGAGAGAGAGAGAGAGAGAGAGAGAGAGAGAAACATCGACGTGAAAGGGACACATCGAGTGGTCGCCACCTGCACGACCCAACCAGGGCCGGGGACAAACTGCAACCGAGGTACATACCCTTAGCGGGAACCGAATCTGGGTCTCTCCGGACCGCAGGCCAACACTCTACCACTGAGCCAAACTGGCCAGGGCCATTGGTTGATTCTTATATGTACCCTGACGGGGATTGAACCTGCAACCTTGGTGCATTGGGATGATGCTCTAACCGACCGAGCTGCCCGGCCAGGGCTTCCACAAGTTTTTATAGAGCCCAGTATCAGTCAGCTTTTGCTGCCTAACAAGTCACCCCAAAACATAGTGGGCTCAGCGGTCAGCTGGTTGATGGAAGATGACCTTGCGCACGTGAGTGCTGACTTCCGGCTGCAGAGGCTGGCCCAGGCTTACTCTCTCGGTGGTTACCGGGCAACAGATGGAAACCCCAAATCACAAGCACTTTTTAAGCCTCTACTTGCAACCCAGCTGCTCAGGGGCCCTTGGTCAGAATGAGCCACCCCTGGCATCAGTGAGGGAGGGGCCGCGGAAGGGTGCGGACACGGGACAGTGGGAAGGTTGGGGGCGTGGCGGGGGTAGGTGGGCAGAAACGGGCCCCAAGCACCCACTGCGCGTTGTGCCGGGGGTTCTAGCAATGAGCGAGAAGGCCCTAGTGCAGCTACAGGTTTAGTGGGGAAAGCAGACCAGCAACAAGTTACTAGATACAAAGAAAAGTTGAAGCAAGCTGTGAAGACAGTGAAACAGGGTGATTGACGGAGGGTGACAGGGTCAGGGCCGGGGACAGGAGCATGAGGAGGCCTCGGCTGTCCCACGAGCGGAGGGAGAGCACTAAGGGCAGCCAAAGCCCCACGTGACCCGCGGTGGCGTCCAGCTCTTAGGGGGACCATGGTGAACGGAGCAGAGACCACCAGCCGGTGGTGGGACGACTGGTAGACCTTGGCAAGGAGTCTGTTATAATATATATATTATATTTAAATATGTTTTAAATATATATAAAATATATTTAAATATATATAAGTATATATATATTTAAATATATTTTTATTGACTTCAGGGAGAGGGAGTCACGCCCCCTGCTGGGGATTGAGCCCACAACCCGGGCTTGTGCCCTGGCCCGGAATCGAACTCGTGATCCCTTGGTTCATGAGATGACGCTCAGTTACTGAGCCCAGGGCTGTTATTTGAGTATTGAGGACCCCCACCCCCTTCTGGGAGGCTTTGAAGAGGAGAAAGGAGGGATCTGCTTTGCTTTTGCAAAAGATTCCTCTAAGGAGCGGTTCTCCGCAGGGGGCGATGTCGCACCCCACCTCCCCTGCCCGGGGCTTGACAATGTCAGGGAGGTGCGACCGCCATCTAGTGGCGGAGGTCAGCCTTGGGGCCAGACATCCCGCAAGGCGCCGGGCGGCCCGCACGGGGAGCCAGGCCCCAGGAAGTGCCGGCGGCAGGTCAGCCCTGCGGCCGAGCCCTGAGAACGACGTGAAGGATGAGGAGGCCAGGCGGCCGGGGGAGGCCAGTTAGGAGACTCCTGCAATGGTCCGGGAGAGGGGTGACCTGCCCAGCTGGGCGTGGTGGTGGTGGACAGGGGCTAAGTGGAGGGACTTGAGAACCAGAGGTCTCGTTGGTGGACGTTTGGGGAGGGGAGGACAAAAGAGATATCAAGGAGGAGTCCTGGGGTTTTGGCCCAAACAGCGGGACAACAGTGGTACCATTTGCTTACATGGGGACCCCTGAAAAGACAGCCCACAGCAGAACGGGGCTGGGCCTCTACCAGGGGCAGGGGCCTTCCCTCCTCCCCAGGGATGAGCAGGCTGGGACAGGGTGTGGAGAACACGGGCGGCAGTGAGGAGGTGTGGGCTCCTCGCAGGGCCAGTGCAGGGAGCCGGGGAAAGGCCACCTTTGGCCTGACCGCCAGTCCCCGCCAGCTTCGGGGTGAGGAGGTTGAAATCTGACATGGGGAGATTTCCTCGCCGGGGCTGGGGGCTGGGGAAACCTCCGCCATCCTGTTCTGTTCTGTGGCTCTTTCTACTGCTCCGTCACTGCCCTGGGCCCGAGGCCTATAAAGAAAGGACTGTCCTACCCATGTGACAGGTGAAGCGACAGAGACGGGGCACATCAGGTGACCTGCTGTAAGCTTGCCAGGTACTTAGGGGCAGAGATGGGATCAGACTTCAGGTCTCTGATTCTCTCAGCCAGTATGCGCGTGTGTGTGCTGTGTATGTGTGTGTGTGTGCATGTTGTGTATGTGCGTGTGTGTGCGTGTGCTGTGTGTGTGCGTGTGTGCTGTGTATGTGCGTGTGTTTGCTGTGTATGTGTGTGTGCATGTTGTGTATGTGTGCGTGTGCTGTGTGTGTGTGTGTGCTGTGCATGCTGTGTATGTGTGTACGTGTGTGCATGCTGTGTATGTGTGTGTGTGCTGTGTATGTGTGTGTGCACGCGTGTGTGTGCTGTGTATGTGCGTGCGTGTGCATGTTGTGTGTGTGTGCTGTGCATGTGTGTGCGTGTGCATGTTGTGTATGTGTGTGTGCTGTGTATGTGTGTGTATGTGCGCGCGTGTGTGTGCTGTGCATGCTGTGTGTGTGTGTATGTGTGTGCATGCTGTGTATATGTGTGTGCGTGTGTGCATGCTGTGTATGTGTATATGTGTGCGTGTGCATGTGTGTGTATTAACAGAAAAGGGATAGGCTGCCAGGTGAGAAGACCAAGCAGAGCTCCCAGCGGGCCTGGTCTCTCACGCTCGGCTCCTTTCTCTCGCACCCCCCCCCCCCACCTCACCCAGACCTGTCTTCTCAAGAGACCAGGCTTCCCCAGGAGTGGAAAGCGGTGGAAGACGAGTCCGAGGAGTCCCAGGTAAGTCGGGGTTCCCTTCTCTTTCCCAAATGCCCACCCTGCGGACCTCAGCGAGTTGACTCATTCCCCCGCAGTCCCCCTGCCCCACAAAATCCATCCATCTAACCACCGGCTGGGGTTTCATCCAGATCCCACGAGTGACACCAATCCGCAGGAGGGAGCACATCCCTTCATTTACAGAGCTAATGTTTCCTTGGGGTGCGGGTGGGCCTGCACGAGACATCAGTGTGCGAAATAATGGCCATGGTTCTTTTATTTCAATGTTTCTCTTACACATCAGAAAAACCACACAACCAGTCTGAGCAGCACAGGAGGGCCCATCCCCCAGTCACAGGTCTGACACCGGCTCAGATTGGTTCAAACCAGAGGGATGCGAGCACTTCGAAATGAGTACGGGCTACAGTAAGGTGGCTCAAGGGAAGACGTTAACTCTCCGGCCCGGAGGCTTATTCCCAGAGGGGAGGAGAAGGAGCGTCCCAGCAGAGGGGGTCGGGCGCCCGCCCAAAGGCGAGGCCTAGAAAGGGCGAAACGCTGGAGTTGAGAGGAGCGCAGTGGGGGTTGGGGGTGAAAACCCGGCTGGAGGAGACGGTTCCTTCCTTCTGCAGCTATTGAGCGAGCACCCACCGGAGGGAAGTCTCCACTAACTGACGGGGAGATGCTGGGGTTAAGACGAGAAGGAGGTGGGGAATGAGCCGGGCAGATTTCTAGGGGGAAGAGGTTCTGGGTGGAAGGACACAGCAAGTGCAAAGGCCCTGAGGCAGGAACTTGCCTGACACCTGTGAGGCGCAGCAAGTGTGATCAGTATGGTGGAGCTAGGGAGGAGGGGAGGGGAGAGGTCACAGAAGTGACCGGGGTGGATGACTCAGGGCATGTAGACCAAAGTAAGAATTTGGCTTTTACACGGTAAAAGTAGAAGCTGTAGGAGGGCTGTGGACAGAGGCGAGATGTATTCCCACCCACATTTTAACAGACCGCTCTCACTCCCAAGTTTCATGCCAAGGAGATTGGGCCATTCTTGTGGGCAGTGGGGAGCCATTGAGGGGATTTGAGGGTCACAAAAGTCATCCTGGCGGCCCACGTGGAAAGAAGGGGATGGATGAGGAAGAGGGAGAGGTATAGGGGCCACTCAGGGTCCTCCAGGTAGGGGGAAAAGGGGTGGAAATGTTACACATGAGAGCTGCCCCTTACCTGGTACAAGCTGGAGGCGATTCTAAGTGCTTCTCGTTATTAACACTTTCACTAGCTCCATGCTCGCTCAATATCAACTCCTGAGCCCGGGAGATAGTTGCTATGGTTTTCTGCCCTTTAAGACAAGAAAACTAAGACCGAGGAAGACACCCAGAGGCCTGTGACATTACTCACTATCCACTCATTCACCCCTCATGGCTCATTCAACCTTCATTTGTCCTCGTTTATGGGAGTTTTGTTCTTATTGTTATTAATCCTCACTCAAGGATATTTTTTTCATTGATTATTAGAGAGAGTGAAAGGGAAGGAGGGAGAGAGAGAAACATTGATTTGAGAGAGACACATCCATTAATTGCCACCTACACACTCCCTGACCAGGGTCAGGGATCAAACCTGCAACCCAGGTATGTGTCCCTGACAAGGAATCGAATCTGCAAGGCTTTGGTGCATGGGCTGATGCTCTAAGCACTACGCCACACCAGCCAGGGTCAAGAAATACACACACACACACACACACACACACACACACACACGTTTGGGGGTCATTGAGGTCTAGATGGTATTTTAAACAGTGAAATTTTGTCCTGGCTGTTTTTGCTCAGTGGTTAGAGTATCAGCCTGGAGACCAAAGGGTCCTGGGTTTGATTCCCAGTGAAGGGCATGTACCTGGGTTGCAGGTTTGAGCCCTAGGCCCAGTTGGGGCACATGTGAAAGGCAACCAATTGACGTGTCTCTCTCACATCAATGTTTATCTCTCTTTCTCTCTCTTCCGCTCATTCCCTTCCTTCCACTCTCTCTAAGACTCATTGGGGAAAAACAATAGTCTCTGGTAAGGATTAACAAAAAATAAAAACAAAATAGTGAGGCTTTCTATATCACTTTGAAATTGTCCTCACATGTTCTGCTCTTTCCTCTTCTGGGGCATTGGGGTAATGTGTCCTTTACCTTCTGTCTGTCCTGTGACCCCGTTTTCCCACAGGTAACAATGGTGGCCCCTCCCTTCCCGTGGTCATTCTTCTTCTCTTTCTGTTTCAGGGCTTCGTGGAGTGGCCAAGGGCCCCGCAGCAGACGACCTTACTCCTGGTCGTGTGTGGGCTCTTTTTGTTCCTGGTTTTAACAGGGATGCCTATGGTGTTCTACATCTAACTCGTTTTGAAAGAGACGCCCTGGTCCTGCCAAGGAATCATCGAGATGATTTTTTTAAAAATGCATTTATTTTTAGAGAGAGCGATGAAGGGGAAGAGAGAGAGAGACATTGATTTGTTGTCGCACTTATTTATGCATTCATCGGTCGATCCTTGTATGTGCCCTGACCGGGGATCGAACCCAAAACCTTGGAGTATCAGGACAAAGATCTAACCAACTGAGCTACCCGGCCAGGCTCCTTGTCTCTATTTTTGAGTACTTAATTCATTTATATTTTCTTTTTACAAAATTACTTGCTACAAGCACATACCTAATCATACAAATATGCTTCTAACTGTAGCCTTGGCCACGCCTTCAACGTCCATCACTTGTGTTCTCGTTCACGCTGTCTAACTATTTGATTGCAGTACTTCTGAAGACTGCTTCGAAACTTGGCAATCGGGGTTATTTAACACCACTTTTGTTTGCTTGATTTACTGCACTGTGAACAGACAATGTGGTCTGCGATGCACCTGCTCTCCAAACCTTTTTTTTAAAGCTTTTATTGTGGCCTAGAACATGGCCAATGCTTACATGCGTTTCATGGACATTTGAGAGGAATATGTATTTTCTGTGTGTAGAAATCAAAACTCTACGCGTCTGTTAATTAACTCAGTCTCATCAATCATGCTGTTCAGCCGTTATGTAATTTTGGCCCGTCTGTCAGAAACCAACGAGATTACGTGAAATCTGTTACGCAGTTTTGTCTGTCAGTACAGTTTGTATAGTCTTTGCTTTATGTATTTGTAAACTGTGTAATTTGATGCATAAGTACAGCATTGTGACGTCTTTGCCAAGTAACATATGTACACGCCATGTACACTGCTGGCATTTTGTAGGAGCTCAATAAATGCTAGTGGAAACTTGATTTTGAATCCTTTGTCAAATATAAAGTGACCGTCTTTAACCAATTTAATCCTTTGCCTTAAATTCTATCTTATCTGATAGTGGTTGACATCACCATCCTGATTTTTTTTCCCTCACCCAAGGACATTTTTTGCATTTATCTTCAGATAGAAAGGGAGGGAGAGAGGGAGGAAGAGAGAGAGAGAAACATCGATGTGAGACACATCACCTGGCTGCCACCCACACGACCCAAACCAGGGCAGGAGACAAACTGCAACCGATGTACGTGCCCTCAGCGGGAACCGAACCTGGGACTCTCTGGTCCGTAAGCCGACGCTCTAAGTGCTGAGCCAAACTGGCAGGGCACCATCCTTATTTTTTTTAAAGGTGTTTTAATTAAATTTTTTTTTTTTTTTTTTTGGTACGTAACCCTAGCGGACACCAAACCCAGGACTCTCTGGTCCGCAAGCCAACACTCCAACCACTGAACCAAACTGGCCAGGGCGTAATTAACTTTTTTTAGAATGTGAGAATGTAACATCCATCTGTTGCCTCCTGCACGCCCCCCCCCCCCCACCAGGGATCAAGCCTGAAATCAAACCAGCAGTCCTCAGGTGCATGGGACGATACCCAGCCAACTGTGCCACACTGGCCAGGGCTATCGTCCTGATTTTTTTTTTTTTTTTAATCATCACCTGAGGATATTTTTTTCATTGATAGTTAGAGAGAGTAGAAAGGAATGGGGGGAGGCAGGGAGAGAGAGAGAGAGAAACATCGTTGTGAGAGAGACACATTGATTGTTCGCCTCTCGCATGCTCCCCAACCCCACCAAGAATCAATCTGCAACCCAGGTATATATGTGCCCTTGACCGGGAATTGAACCCAACACCCTTCGTGTGAGGGCCAGCGCTCCAACCACTGAGCCACGTCAGCCAGGGCTCATCCTGATGTTTTACATTCCTGTGTGTGTGTGTGTGTGTGTGTGTGTGTGTGTATTTAGAGTCTTTGTGTCATTTTGTTTTAACAGACATCCATGGCCTCTCCTGAGTTGCTGGTGGAGCAGTACCCAATACTTTCTCTTCTTAGGCTGACTGCATGCAGCAAGCCACAGCTGGCCCTTGTTAAAGGACTAGGTCTTGCCCTGGCCGGGTGCTCAGTGGTTAGAGCACTGGCCCTTGGACTGAAGGGTCAAGGGTTCGATCCCCACTCCCAGTCAGGGTCATGCAGGAGGCAGCCAATCGATGTGTCTCTCTCACATCAATGTTTCTCTCTCTTCTTCCCTCCCTCCCTTCCACTCTCTCTGAAAATTAATGGAAAAATATCTTTTGGTACCACACACACACACAACAAGAAATAAAATAGGAATTTAAGTATTGACTGTTACATTCCTTAGGGTTTTATTAGTTGCAAATAGAGAAGCTCAATTCAAATGAGTTTAATCAAAGAGGTGAATTATTCCTTCACGTTGCACCAAAGTTCGGGCTGAAATTGGCTTAATGTATAGGAGGTCCCCAGGGCCTGCCCCCTCCCTTGGACCCCCAAGTGCACTCCCTTTTGAGGGTGACCTCCCTCTCCTGCACATGGCTGTGGGGATGGCTGTCACCACCCCTGTGCTAACTTCTTCCACGGAGACCGGAGCCTTGAAATAAAAGTTAAAGGGACCCGCAGCTGAGAAGGCCGAGGCGGGAAGGCGCGTGGGAGGAGTGGGCGGAGAGTGGACGCACCGGGCAAGGTGGCAACTGAGCGGAGATGGTGCACGTGGAGACCAGCCTGGGGGCCCTGATGAGCTCTGACAGCGCCACCATCCCAATAAAATGTGTGGAATACAGTCGTCCCTCGTTTATCGTGGTTAATCTGTGCCAGACTCTAGCGGTTGCCCCTGGCACTGAAGGATTCCTGGGGTGCTCGAATACACAGGCCTACAGCCCACACATACAGTAATTTTAATTTAATTGTAATACAGGGGTGTATAACTGGCTCAGACAACCGAGCGTGCACTGTATCATTTTCACTGTCTCGATCAACTTTTTAAGGAATATATTTGAAAAAACCGCGATAGAGGGAAGCCGCGATCGTCAAGGCGCGAAGTGTCGAGGGACGACTGTATTGAAAAATAATCGTGATGCTGATAGAAATCACATGAGCGGTGGCCATTCGCTTGGACTCTATCACGTGCCAGCAACGTCATCTCATTGGCGGTGGAAGTAGTCACCACACCCCTGCTCTGTTCTCCACCCAACAGCCAGAAAGATAGATTAAACCATAAAACCATTCATAATCCACCCACTTCAGCCGTAAAAGTCAAGGTCCCCACAGTGGCTGTCCACTCCCACACGACCTGCCCTGGGCTGCCAATCCTCCGGCGCTGACCTCCTTGCAGCTCCCACAAGCCCATCACTCGCCAGCCTCAGGACCTTTGCACTGACTGTTCCCTCTGCCTGGAGTGTTTCCCCCCAGAAGCTCGCACGGCTCTGCCACCTCCGTCAGGTCGCTGCTCAAACGTCCTCGCCTCCTTGGAGAGCCCTCCCCTGACCTCCCTTCGCAGGTCATTGTCTCCCTGTCTTCACAATTAGGGGTCAATACCGTTCTTGTCTAGCGTCCTAATGGCCACTTCTCCTGTCTGATGGCTCTCCCTGGGGGAACTGAGTCCTGGGAAAGCTGAATTGGGGGTAGGGGGTTGTAAGGTTCAAGCTGTGCCACCCAGGGGCTCCCAGCACACCTGCACCAGCGTGTGGGACCCCACCCTCCTGGAACAGACATGTTGGGCCCAGGGTGGTGTCTGCTTGTAGCATCTGGGGAACATGGTGGAGGAAGGAATGTGTCCAATGTGGCAAATCTAAAACCACTGGGGGGCCCTGGCCAGTTTGGCTCAGCGGTTAGAGCGTCAGCCTGCGGTCCGGAGAGACCCGGGTTCGGTTCCCGCTACGGGCACGTACTTCGGTTGCAGTTTGTCCCCGGCCCTGGTTGGTCGTGCGGGTGGCAGCCACTCGATGTGTCCCTTCACGTCGATGTTTCTCTCTCTCTCTCCCTTCCTCTCTCTCCCTCCCACTCTATCTGTACAAAAAATGGAAAAATATCCTCGAGTGAGGATAAAAAAATAAATAAATAAAATAAAATAAAACCACTGGGGGAAAAAACCGCGATGCCCCTCTGGCTCCAGGTGGCCCCTGGCGTGTGATGCTCATCATGAAACCGCCCACTCTGAGGACGGGGGATGCCGCTGTGCAGTGGTTTCTGGGGTGCTGGGGTGACGGGCCAGTGCACGATGCCACCAGGGTGCGGCTTCCGCATCCTGCGCTGCGGTTCTCTTCGCCGAAAGCAGATTCCCCTTCCTCTTTGCTTCCCTGAAACCCTTCCATTGCAAACGCTCCGAAATAGGGGTCTTTGCTAACTCCTCCACCAGGGGGCGCAGCCGCAGGCGGGAGACTCTCATCACAGCCCCCCCACCTCCAACCCCTGCCCCGCTGCAGGGACGAGAGGGCACAGGCCGGCCATGAGGCTTCGCGAGGCAGTTCCCGCCAGAGCAGCGCCGGACTCCGCGTGGGAGCCCCGCCCCGCGCACACAGTGCGGCGCCTGCGCACTAGCAAGGCGCCTGAGCCTCTGCACCTGCGCACTACGGGCAGGCTGGCTCTTCTTGAAGTGGAGAAGACAGACGCTGGCCCCGCCCACGCCCAGGTTGACCCACAGCCCTTCTGCTGTGGAGGGCGAGTTTCTCCTGTTCTCTTGGGTGATGGGACTCGGCTTCATGTCTGTAAACTAAGGTCCCATTTTACTCATTCATCCATTTACCCGGCACTCCCTGAGCACCTACTGTGTGCTGAAGCCCAAGCTGGGTGAAGTTTGGATCACAGGGAGGAGACAGACTGTGTGGTCCATGACCCTGAGGGGATGTTAAGACTGGTGCTGAGGATGTCCGCCTATTACTCATATACCTGACCTATTAATTTATATATGCTGAGAACCTACTATGTGCTGAGGCCTGGGCTCTGCAAAGTTTGGGTCACAGGAAAGAACCAGAATATGTGGTCTGACCCTGAGGGGATCCAGACCCAGCGCTCAGGATGCTCACCTGCTATTCATTCGTTTACCTGGCCTACTAGTATCTCCTGAGGACCTACTGTGTGCTGAGACCTGAAATGGGTGATGTCTAGGGTACAGGGAGGAACCAGCTGTGTCGTCCTCACCCCTGAACGACTCCAGGGCTGGTTCTGGGATGTACAACTATTCATTCAGTCATCAGTCACTTTTTAAGGACCTACTGCGTGCCAAGGCCTGTCCAGGAGATGCTAGAAGTAAAAAAGGTACACTCTCTCCTCCCAGGCTCTCACCAAAGAGGCTGAACCTTTTATTAATCTACTGAAGATGCCTGCTTCACCATGAAATCAACAATCACAAGGCCAGCCAGAGACGCACAGAGACTTCTTCAGGTCTGCTTTGGTGGGTCACATTTATAATTCTGAACCAGAGCGGTGGTAGGGAAGGGTGTCAGGGAGTCCGGCTGATGTGGGGTGCAGTCACAGTCCTATGACATCTTCCCTGTGTGACCTTAGGCAAGTCACTGAGCTTCTCTGAGCCTGGGTTTCCTCACAGGCAGCACGGGGATGACAGGGTGCCCCCCCCCCCCCCAGTGCCATGAGGTTAGAGGCGATGCGTAAAAACGCTCAACAAAGCGCCCAGAACCGGAGGCCCCAGTAATCTTCAGCTCTTATTCCGCTGGTCCTCCGAGGTGTCTGCAAGGTCACTACTGCTAACAGGCTTCTCTTCCCTGGGCGAGTGCAGGTGTCCGGTCAGGTGTGGCAGCTGGACAGTGGTGTCGCTGCGCAGGCTGTGCTCGTGGGGCTTCCTGTCGGCGTGTGTCCTCTGGTGCCGGATGAGGGCGGAGGAGAAGCTGAAGGCCTTGCCGCAGCCGCTGCACTCGTAGGGCCGCTCGCCGGTGTGCACGATGTGGTGCTGGATCAGGTAGGCGCGGTTGCGGAAGGCCTTCCCGCACTCCGGGCATGAGTAGGGCCGCTCCCCGGTGTGCGTGCGCCTGTGCAGCGTGAGCGCTGAGCCCTGGCTGAAGGCCTTGCCGCAGTCCCCGCACCGGAAGGGCTTCTCGCCTGTGTGGATCTTCTGGTGCTCGAGGAGGGAGGACACGTGGCCGAAGGCAGCCCCGCAGTCCAGGCACTTGTAGGGCCTGGCGCCCGTGTGTACCAGGTGATGCTGCGCCAGGTGCGAGCGGTTGCTGAAGGCGCGGCCGCAGTCCCCGCACGCGTAGGGCCGCTCGCCCGTGTGCACGCGCCGGTGCTGGCTCAGGTGCGACACCTGCGTGAAGGCTTTGCCGCACTGCGCGCACACGAAGGGCTTCTCACCCGTGTGGATGCGCCGGTGCTCGGCCAGCGAGGCGCTCTGGCTGAAGGGCGCGCCGCACTCGGCACACGTGTAGGGCTTCTCGCCCGTGTGCACACGCCGGTGCTGCGCCAGGTGCGCCACCTGCGTGAAGGCCTTGGCGCACTGGCCGCAGGCGTAGGGCCGCTCCGCCGTGTGCGTGCGCCGGTGGCGCAGCAGCGCCGAGGAGAAGCGGAAGGCCTTGGAGCACTGCGCGCAGGCGAAGGGCTTCTCGCCGGTGTGCACGCGCTGGTGCTCCAGCAGGGCCACGCGGCCGCGGAAGGCCTTGGCGCACTGGCCGCAGGCGAAGGGCCGCTCGCCCGTGTGGACGCGCCGGTGCTGCACCAGGTGTGCCGGCCGCATGAAGGCCTTGCCGCAGTCAGGACACGCGTGCGGCCGCTCGCCCGTGTGCGTGCGCCAGTGCGCCGCCAGGTAGGAGCCCTGGCTGAAGGCCTTGCCGCACTGGGCGCAGGCGTGCGGCCGCTCGCCCGTGTGCACGCGCCGGTGCAGCGTCAGGTGCACGCGCTGGCTGAAGGCCCTGCCGCACTCTGGGCACGCGAACGGCTTCTCCCCGGTGTGTGTCCTGCGGTGCAGGGTGAAGGCCGAGCAGTAGCGGAAGGCCTTGCCGCAGTCCTCGCACTTCCAAGGCTTCCTGGGGCCCCCGCTCTCTGTGTCCTTCGGGCTCTTTCCCTGTGTGCCGCGCCTCCGGAGCCCGCGGCGGGCCTGGGTAATGGGAGGGCTCGGTCTAGTTCCCGGGGCTCTGCCACAGTCATCACACTCCAGGGCACTGTCCCCGGCGGGATCTTCCTCATGGGTCTCTGGCTTCAAACACCTTTCCTGGTTTTCCTGCCGGTCCCTGAAGTGACCCTCTTGTATCCAGGCTTCTCCCAACTCACAGCCCCGGGGGGCGGCAGTGGCCAGGAGGCCATCCATTCCTGCTCCCGGGCTGCTGCCTCAATTTCACCTTCTGACACCGGATCTGGAAGAAATAAAAGAAAGAAAACCAGAGGTTTGTCATTTGTCCTGTGCTAGGAAGGGCCATACTGGTGACAGTCTGGATCCGATCACGCTGGCCTGAGACAGTCCTATGCCTGGGAGGCCGTGGAGCAGCGTCCTCAGCCTCTACACACTGGCTGCCAGTAGCCCCGGCCCCCACCTCCAAGGTGCCACAACCAAAAATGCCTGCAGACACTGCCAAGTATCCTCTGGGGGGGGGGGGGGGAGACAAAACTGCCCCTGGTTGAGAATCACTGACTTAATGGAACTAAAAACAATGTTAAAATATCCTGCGAAAACATGAACCCTTCAGCGCTTAAATATCACCTTGGACTAGGACCAAAATGTGTCCTTCCCTCCCCAAGTTCATATGTGGGAGCCCTAACCCCCTACATGATGGTGTCTGGAGGTGGGGCTTTTGGGAGGTGCTGGGGTTAGATGAGGTCATGAGGATGAGGCCCCCACAATAGGATTAGTGCCTTCCTAAGAAGAGAAGACCAGAGCTGGCTCTGTCCACCATGTGAGGACAGTGAGAAAGTGACCATCCATAAGCCAGGAGGAGAGTCCTCACCAGAACCTGGACAATGGTGGCACCCTGACCTCAGACTTCCAGCCTCCAGAATTGTAACTAAATAAATTTCTGTAGTTGAAGCTCCCAGTCCTTGGTATTTTCTGATAGCAGCCCGAGCTGACTTATACACTCACAGGGATGATTCCCTTTTCGGGAGGAAGGTGTTTACTCCGCACACAGAGGAAAAGGCAGCCCCCACATTCCCTGTATAATAACTGCTGGTGGAAGCATGCACGGGGAAAACCACACTTGCTAGGAAGGTACATCCCCAGTGGCCCAGTCCTTATATTTTCTGGAATGTGAGCACACATGTGTGCTAGGAGGCCTGTTGGAGAGTGTCTGTAACAGCCAAACACTAGAAACAATCCAACCATCCAACTCTCAGCAAGAGACTAGACAACTAAATGGGCTACATTCACATGACGGAACAACTCAGCATAAATGCAAATGACCATCAGCTACCGCCCCAGCTCAGCACCTCAAACACAGTGCTGGCTAACAAGGTAGGACGCAGAAGAATTGATCAGGGATAATGAGACTTAGGCTTAAAAACAGGCAAAAATGAAAGCATTTATTTTTTAGGGATTATGTGGCAAAGGTTCATAGCTCCACCCTGGCCTGGAGCCCAGCAGTGACCATCGCCTGTGATAAATGCACAGCTCAGTCCGTCCCCAAGTTTGGCCATTTGCAATCTGCTTAAGAAAAGCCCCACGTGACTCATGGGCAGAGGAACATCTGAGAGGCGTTGGTCTCAGCCACTCTGAAGACAATATGGGAGTACTGTTGTGGCAGTGATAATAATGTTCCCAGCACTCTTTTTTTATCCTCACTCGAGGACTTTTTTTGCATTTATCTTCAGATGGAGCAGGAGGGACAGAAGGGGGGAAGAGAGAGAAACATCAATGTGAGAGAGACACATTGACTGGTCACCACCCACACGACCCCAACCGGTGCCGGGGACAAACTGCAACCAAGGTACGTGCTCTTACTGGGAACCAAACCCGGGTCTCTCTGGTCCACAGGCCGACGCTCTAACCACTGAGCCAAACTGGCCAGGGCTGTTCCCAGCACTCTTTAAGCTCTTGCCACATATTAGCTCCAGTGAGGCCCCCCAGAAGTGGCAACAATAGGGCACACTCTAGGGCCACCTGGCTCCAGATCTCATCCTCTACAACACCCCTGCCTGCCCCAGGCATGCACTGCTCCAGCCACAGGCTTCCTCCCTGTTCCACAAACATGTCAGGCACACCCCTACCTCAGGGCCTTTGCACTGGCTATTCCAGGTACCTGGAATGCTCTTTCTCCAGCACAGGCCTCACTGAGCAAATGACTTCTGAGCAGAGACCTGTTGTTCTGGTGCCACGCCCACTGGCAGCCCCCAAGCCTGTGTTAGCCCAGCTGGGTCCCCAGAGAAGGCAGTGTCCATCAGGTCCTATCCATGTCACTCAGGTTGTAGACCCTGCTCTGGTCACTATGCCTCAGTGGGCCCAGTCAGCATCTGTGGAAGAAAGAAATGGGGACCCATGAAGGATTCTGAGGCAGACACAGGGAGGCAGAGCAAAAATGCAGGGTGTTCAGTTGGGGGGGGGTAAGTGGATTCAGGGGGGTAACCCAGGAAGACCACACACACACAAACAGGCAACTGAACGGCAGACACAGACAAATTCAGAGGCAGACACACACGGAGTTTTACAATCACACCTTCGGGTGCAGCTATGGCACCCCCAGATCCATCGGGCACTCATCCCTATGCTGTGGTACAGTCCTCCCCACGCACCGGAGGCTGGCTGTCTCCAACACCCACACTCTCCAAGCGCGCCTGGAATCACCCTTGCACATGCACACGTAGCTACACACACAAGGTGACACACACCGCCCTCTACACGCTTAGGCACACAAAGAAGACACTGGCACACCCAGACACACACGTGGAACCACGCCCCTCACGCCCAGGAGAACACGCTGCACACATGTCCAAAGTCACACACGGGCAGAGACACACGTTCGTTGATGCACACGCCACCAGGGCCAGGCGTGTGCAAACACCCAGTGACACGTGGGGGCAGACTCACACTCTCGAGGCTGAGTGACATGTGCAAGTCACCTGCACGGGCACAAAGTTCAGGAGTCACGCAGGTGCAAATACATGGTGACACATGCACGCGCCGCTGGAGTCGCGAACGTAGATACACACGGACACGGACACACACACATCCACTCGCGAACGCGCACATTACACACACACCCGCCCTCGTACCCCGAAAACCAGCTCCGAAGACCTGGGGCGGCTGCGGCCGAGCCTGGTGGGTTCGGGTCAGGTTCTCTGCGGTCTCCGGCCCTACCAGGCCCACGCGGACCTCCGGTGACTCCCCTCGTCCCGCGGTGGTGCGGACGTACAAGCCGCACAGGTCAAGGTGGAAGCCTCTGCGGAGGGGGCCCAAGCGGCAGGCCGGCGCGGACCGCGCGTGCGCACCGGGAGAGTGGGCCTGCGCGCGGCTCCAAAAACTACAACTCCCAGAAGGCACCGCGCTCCATCCGCGTCGCGATTAGGGGGGGTCGCAGCGCCTGGGTCAACAAAACTACAACTCCCAGAAGGCCTTGCATCTGCACAAAGTGGAGCACGGGGTCCCTGCCCGCCTCGAGAACCTTAGAAGGGGTGCGCGGCTCGGGACCGGGCCTGGGCAGTCTGTTTAGAGCTCCACCCATCACAGCCTTGAAGCAAGTTGGTGGGCGGGGCCAGTCCTCAGAGGCTGGACTCATCTAACTCAGGAGGCTTCAGAATCCACAAACTTAGAAAAAAAGTCTGAGGATCAGAGAGGCTAAGTCACTTACCCCAGGCCACACAGCACAAAAGGGTGGGAGCTGGGGTTTGCAACCCACAGTTCACCTTTAAGCCATGGAAGGCATTTGTCTCAGAATTTGCTGTGATTCCTGTGCATGGCAAAGATGACAAATTGATCTGAGCAAAAGATGGTAATAGTTAACAGGTGCACAGGATTAGCACCGGTACCGGCCAGCCGTTGTTTTAAAGTGCTTCCCGTGTAGGAATTCTGTTAGCCTTCATAAGTTCTTCCTCCAACCTACGAAAATGGGCACACGTCATTTTTCGGTCATTGGGAAAGCAGAGAAACGTGTGAACACAGAATGGAAAGATGAATGGATTTCACCAACATCAACGAGTGTGAGACATCACTTTATTTCACGTACCCCCTAGGCTGCCTGTTAAACCAACACAGATGCCTTCCTCGCATGTCAAATTTTAATTTTATATGTAGCCTTCAGGGGCATTGTGTTTCCCTTCATCCTTCTGGAAGCTTCTGGCTTTACCATGGTAAGAAGGTGCCCAGTGTCCCTCCAAGCCTGGGACTCGCAGAGCAGAGCCTCCCAGCAGATTCACAGACCCGTGAACCTGACTGAGAATAAAGCTTGTGTTTTCCAGCCCTGGCCAGGTAGCTCAGTTGGTTAGAGCATCCTCTCGACTCACCAAGGTTTGGAGGTTCCATCCCCAATCAGGGCACATACAAGAATCAACCAATGAATGCATAAATAAGTGAACAACAAATCCATTCTTTTCCTTTCTCTCCCCCCACCCCCTCTCTAAAATCAACCAATAAATTTGTTTTAAAAAGCTTGTGGTTTTGCCCTGGCCGGTTTGGCTCAGTGGTTAGAGCGTCGGCCTGAGGTCCGGAGGGACCCGGGTTCGGTTCCCGCTAAGGGCACGTACTTCGGTTGCAGTTTGTCCCCGGCCCTGGTTGGTCGTGCGGGTGGCAGCCACTCGATGTGTCCCTTTCACATCGATGTTTCTCTCTCTCTCTCTCTCTCTCTCTCTCTCTCTCTCTCTCTCTCTCCCCCTCCCACTCTATCTGTACAAAAAATGGAAAAATATCCTCGGGTGAGGATAAAAAATAAATAAATAAATAAAAATAAAAAAAAGCTTGTGGTTTTGCCCTGGTCGGTTTGGCTCAGCGGTTAGAGTGTCGGCCTGCGGTCCAGAGAGACCCGGGTTCAGTTCCCGCTAAGGGCATGTACCTTGGTTGCAGTTTGTCCCCGGCCCTGGTTGGTCGTGTGGGTGGCAGCCACTCGATGTGTCCCTTTCACGTGGATGTTTTTTTCTCTCTCTCTCCCTCCCACTCTATCTGAATAAAATATGGAAAAGTGTCCTCGGGTTAGGATAAAAAAAATTTTTAAAAGCTTGTTGTTTTAAAGGACTGAAGTGTTTTTTTCTGGTTTAGTTTTATATTTGAATATTTAAAAATATATTTTTAAAATATTTTTTAAAAATGGCCGGTTTGGCTCAGCGGTTAGAAGTCGGCCACGGACTGAGGGGTGGTGGGTTCGCTTTCCGATGGAGGGCATGTACCTGGGT